CGAAGTGGCTTAATTTCGCTATGGCAACTGGGGGGAATTGGTGCATTCCCAGACGCTTCGCCGGCATTGTCAGACCGACTTGCCATTTCTAGCGCTAATCTACAACCTGTCAAAGGGAAGTTGGTTTCGCCAATTTCGCTCCATTTCCACCACATCCACTGTCTGGCACAGGGGATTATCGAAGCTGCTATAGCAGAGGATTTTAGACTAACCGTTTTCGCTTAGTTCGCCATGGCAACACAATCAAATTGTGAAAATAAGGTCAAACCACTTATATACAACGCAAGGAGAGACTACAACATCTTGGTCTTCAAAGCAGATGAACAAGTCTCAAGATGCAATTGGTTCTTGCTTGGCTTCCTTTCAAAAAAGGTACTCTCATCCAGGTCGCTAGGTTACGCGAAATTCAATAGCATCATGAGATAGAACATTCTGATTATTAGAAAATTGTTTTCATCAGTCTTTCATCTTTTCAAGCGACATAGGTTGACTTAAGCTCATATTTAAGGTCTTTTGATGGTCTCAGATTCCTAAATACTTCGAGTTCTCTTCACTTTTGTGGCTTCCATTCTAATTCATGTCGTTTTAACAGCGTTTTTGCCCACGAGCGCCCACGAGGAAAGCAAGAGTTTATCTCCCACTGTCCCAGTTATCCTTCAATACAACCTCCGCAGAGCTCCAAAAATTCGCTTCTTAGGAACAAGTGGCCTCCATCGGCCCAATCATGTGTGTATTTCTCGTCTCGTGAGGACTGCAAATCTCATTAGACAACCGACCGGCTTCAAAGCCCAACCGAGTCTGTCTACCCGCATGCCTGCATACCAACACCGGCATAATGTGCAGGCCGACCTGAACACACGCGCTTGGTTGAAGTGGCCGACCCGAAGTTGGGTCTACGAGAGACGAGAGCCCCGAAGAAGAGCTGGGCTCTGCGGGAGATGAGTGGTCGACGCGAGAATAAACAAATTCATCTGCCAGATGCAGCACCCTTTCATGCGCTGCCTCATTCAAAGACAGAGGTACGTGTTCCAGTAAATCTGTCTCTCTGTGCATTCGTGCACACACACACACACACACACACACACACACATATATATATATATATTTATATGTGTATGCATTGAGGTGAAAATGTCCACTCTTGTAGACATGGCTGCCGCGGGATGGGCCATCTTCTCTCCAGACTCGCGTGCCCGCCTCATTAGTGCTCTGGCCGGTGTGCCCGGGCCGAGATTGGGTGAATCAGGACCTCATTCGACCTGCTCATCGGGCAGATGGGCAACCGGCTTGGCGGCTGGCCCAGAAGTCTGGCAGGAAAGGCATCAATCATTTGTTCTGGTGTACAATTTGACCGTTGATTCGGCACGGTTGGAGGCGGTGGGTGGTGGGTGGTGGGTGGTGGCACCGACGGAAGACATCTTCGAGGCCCACT